TAAACTTTTTACACGCTTTGGAAAATCTCAGAAGTTCGCGGTAGTCACTTTTCGGTAAGGAACTAAGGGACTCGGTTATTGTATTGAGTGGGGGGTCGAAACGATCGCAAAGGCGGTATACTACGTATACGCGCCAATACGGTAAATAATTTGCAACAAAAATATGGGCGTGCACTCAAGTGACGTACCAAATAAACTACCTACTGACCAGTAAAATATATCCAAATTGATTTCCACAAGTAATGTTGATAGGCTTTTGTGACTCCATAAAATCTAGAGCCACTTTTAGGTGCAGTTTTTGACAAATCATAAAATTTTCAACAGAAGCGTAAGAAGCGTAAAGAAAGCAAAATCTTAATATCTAATTTGAAAAATAGAATGAAATTGTGAATCAACCACTGTACTAATTGCGAGGGGCGTTGGTTCATTTGAAAGGTGTTGTTCTCAATGCTTTGGGAAAACTATAAATTATTTTCTGGGGTTCGTCCCCGATCTTTAAATCCCTAAAAACTCATAAATTGGATGAGGGGAAGTGGGGGTTTTTTGTTTTTTGTTTTTCGGAAAAGTTTTGTTGCTACGCATCTTACTTTACTGTTTGCTGTCTTTTTATCAGCTGTTTTCATTCAACAATCATCATTAAGTGAGGTTACTTCCAACACTCAACTGCCATCAACTTACATTTTTCTTTTCCCGCGTTTTTTTTTTTTTTTTTTACGGTTTTTCATGATTGGTTCCATCTTTTTCCTATTGCCAATTTTTCCTCATTAAATCAATAACCTCCAAGTTTTTTTTCTCATTTCCGATCAGAACTTTTCACGCTGTTTCTTTTCAATGTGTATAAATATGTTTATTATTAATTTCCATTTTCATTTCGTCCTTTTTCTTCTAATTTATTTTTTTTAATTTAAAAATTGAACTTTTCAGTTATGATTAATGATGGGAACCCGAATGGATTTTGGAACCGGTTCCGGTTCCGGTTCTCATGGTCCAATGATTCGGGTTCCGGTTCCGGTTCCGGTTCCGGGGGTCCGAAGATTCGGGTCCCGGTTCCGGAACCGGTTCCGGAACCGGTTCCACTCGGGTTCCATGGTATTAGTATTCGCGAAAATAATTTAATTTTAAAGTAAATTACTCAAAATGAGAGAGAGTTCAAAACTGGGCAATTTTAATGAAGCAATCAAAAATGATTAATTTAGAAACAACTTCCTGCTGCAGCATCTTCGTCTTCTCGATTCCGTTTTTTGTTTTTGAGGTTATCTTCTTCTTCGGTCTTTTGTTTGTTTAACCACTCTTCGTATTCCTCCTTGTGCTGCGTTCGGACATGCTTTTTTAAGTTTGTTACATGATTCCCTCCTATTTTTTCTTTGCAACGTCTACAAACTGATTTATTTTCTTCCTTGATGTAGTCAAAAAAAATTCTAATACTTCCCATTTTACTTTTTAAAATTCCACTTCACTTAAAATGAGTTCGCTCAATTAAATTGATTTTTCACCGATAAAAAATTTGTTACAATTTCCTTGGATACGGGGCCGTCTCAAACCCGGCGTTGCTGCAACATCAGCTGTCACGGAACCGATACGGAACCCGTGTAGGAACCCTGTTCTCGGATTGTGCCCCGGCGGTTCCGGTTCCGGTTCCGGTTCTGAAGGTCCGAAGTTTCGGGTTCGGGTTCCGGTTCCGGTTCCGCATAAACATGCGGGTTCTGAGGGTTCCGGGTTCCGGGTTCCGATCGGGTTCCCAGCCCTGGTTATGATTTTGTTAAAATAAAAATAATTGTTACTAATTTTAATTTTAAATTTAACAGTTGTTATGAGTGAAATTTTCAATGACCGAGGCGGTCGTCCTCCAAAACGTGGTCGCGTTTTCCAGAATTCTTCGCATGTTCGTTTAGTGAAGCAAGAACTTAACTCTGTTATTAGTATAGAAAATCAAAGTTTCATTTCTTCATTTCGGAAGTATAAAATTGATGGTCAGAACTTTGATGAAAATTTTGTTACCAAATTTTCAGTCGGTTCAATGAATATAATTTGTCATCATTGTGATGCTCGCCATTTTCAGGGTGAAATGTCCAATGGTCATTTTAATAACTGCTGCCAAAATGGCTTAATTTCTTTACCGAGTATTCGGACAAATACCGATTTGAAATCATTATTTTTATATTCTCAAAATTTCATAAAGCATATCAGAAATTATAATAGTGCTGTTGCTTTTGCCTCTTTCTCTGCAAATCGAATTGATATTCCGGGTGATGGACCTTATTGCTTTAAAGTTCAAGGATCCATATATAGGTAAGTTTATTTAATATTTACCGTTACGTAACGTACTTTTTTCAGTTTCTCAGTCCGTCCCTCCCTCCTTCCCACCCCTTAACGCATCCGGAATGCATTTAAATCTTTCCTCCTCTGTTAATTACTATTTGGACTTTGTCTATTCCGTTTTGTTTTTAAACATTTTAAAAATAAACAGTTCAAACCCCAAATCGTGATTGGCTCCATCTTTTTCCTATTTCCAATTTTTCCTCATCAAGTCAATAACCTCCAATTTTTCTTTCTCACAACATTCATGTGGAACAGTAAGATGAAGAAACTGGAAAAAGAAAAAACTTCTGAAACAGAAAATACGGAAAACGGAAAGAAAAATGAACAGGAACAAGAAGAAGAAAAAGCGGAAGAATTGGATGAAGATAAAAAGGGAGCAGAAAATGAAGAAGAAAAAGAGGGAGCAGAAAATGAAGAAGAAAAAGAAGAAAAGAAAAAAGGAGGAACGAAAAAGAGAAGAGTTGAAGGAAAAATTGGGAAAAAAGCAGGGCAGAAATCGAAAAAGAAAAACAGAGTAAAGTATTTAGAAGATAAAAAACCGATACTTAAAACTTAGTTTAAAAACAAATGTAAAACCTAAAAAATAATTTTGTATGAAGATTAAAACAAAATTTTAGTTTAAAGTTTACTAAATAAAATTACAATTTTTGAAAACATTTGTTATATTTATTCTCTCAAAGAAATAATTAGACCCGATTCAAAGACAAAACAGAAAATTAAATGAAAATAAATAATAAAAAAAAAAAAAACATGTGAAAGTGAAAAGTGTGCAGGAAAAATAAGGGGCTGCGAAGCAGCCTTATAAGCCCCTAGTTTTAAGTAAAGGCAAAAAGAAAGTCTAAAATATCTACCTATAATCTGTTAGTTCTATTTGAAAGCGCAAATGTCTTGTTAAATTGATATGCGAGTACCAATATCTCTAGTAAAAGTCCCCAAAATTGCAGCTATTCGTGGTGGGGTTAGATGAGAACAAGATTCATGTGATGATAAGAAACCAAAATGACACTCCTAAATACCAGCTTTAAGAAATAGCTATAACTTGCAAACGACTTTCTAAATCCTAAATTTTAACTCTTTGGAAGTATTCCAGAATTTGAAAATGAAAAACAGGTAAACTGAGGAAAACTTGATAAATTTTTAGGTTTCGCCGTTTTTAACCTTAGTCATAATTCATTTCAGGTGGCTAAAAAATCAAACTTTATCCTAAAGTGTCAGTTGGAAGGGCCCCAAAAAGACAATTGCTTCCTCCCTACAATTTGAAGTTGATCTTTGTGAGGGACAATTTCCGACAAAGGATTCTTGAGCTTTCTTGGAATTTTTTTGAAGTTTCGCCGCCCCAATTCAGCAAATTTTCTCTCTCCAAGCAACTTTTTGCCTCTAAAATCACTAAGAATTCATATTTAGATCATATAACGAGCCCATGAAAAAAAATATCTAGTTCATTCTTACCTGCATACAATTGCCTCAGAGGATCCGAGATGAAACTGTATTTTTTAGCATTTTCAGTCTCATTTCGCACTTCCAGAACACCAGCATCGCCTGCATGGCCGGCCAAATGTGAGATGTAAAGAAATAACGGAGCTGTAGATTTGCTATGATTTCTTATGATATCTACAGCCTCTCTCGTGTAGACGTCGGTCAAGTATTTGCCCTCTACTTCATGTTTACTTCGTTTTGTATCGCGGTAACAGTCGAACCCAGGAATCATCATCTAAAAAAAAGAGATATCAGTGCTTGAAAATATCCTAAATATACTGATAGTTCACTAGTATACTACACTTACTACAGTACCTAGTTTAACGATTTACACGCGGGTTCTTCATGACTGAAAACATCAAAATTGTGAGACAGCAACGCACAGTAGAACAAGCCAAGGGCGAAGTTGGACATGAAGTTTGCAACTAAAACTGGCAAATTTTGATGTTTAATTTGCCTGAAGGACCAGTCAATGAGGTGCAATGCGGGATATTTTGTAGTGGGAAAGTTAACAGGTGGCAAGAAAATCTCCACGATCCTTCGATGATTGCAGACTCACGTTGTGCACTGGTTGGAGAATGTGACCACCGCAACGCGAGTAGTGGGTGGTAGGTCAGATATCTAGAAATTACAATTACAACGATCAAAACTTACACCCTGCTGTGCGTGCAATGCGTGAAGTATAAAGTATTCCTACAATCTTATGAGCGCTAATATGCTTCTCACGCCAACTGACCAACTGCGATGCGATTGGCTCAATGCGAGAAGTATTCATTCAGGCTTGTAGGCGCTCACGCCGACCGCACCGTTTCGCGCAATGCTTGAAGTATTCATGCAGTCGTGCAGGCGCTCATACGCGTTTAACACCGGCCGCACTGTGTTTAGCGCGATTTTTCAAACTCGCGTCAAAATAATCGCGGCATCGAATAATGGGGCTTTAAAGGCGCATGTTGTTTTTGGATGCCGTATAAGTATTCCAACGTTGCCTCGTTTCTCCTGATAAAATATTTTTTCCGAAAAAAGTAAGGAAAGTTCTCAATGTTTACTTTTTTAGATTGAATGGACCATTCAACAAGGTACGAATTTGAGCACCTTGATACATGGTTCTTCATCAGAGTTTCACGTAGAACACGATTTGCGCAAAGAACTCTGCTGAAATCAAAGTCCTAACTAAGAAATTGACGTTTTTATTTTAAATTGGTCACGGGAAATTTGAATTGCCCGGTCACAAAAAAACAATATCCTACGCGAGTCAAATCGTGCACTAAAACGGTTTTAGTAGACTACTCAATCGAGCATTGTTTCTGTCGTACCGTGTGTTGTTCAAAATGTGCACAGCTTTCTATACCTTGTCTGATGGTTCATTTTTTAATTCATGGATGTTGTTTTTGCGTTAAATACTTACATTGCAAATAGCGTTCTTGTAGCCAACAAAAGCATTATAGTACCCAAAATGAGAATGGAATCCGCGTCGTGTTGGGGTCATGGCGGTTTTATAGTAGCCCAAGTGCCATTTTCCAACCATACGAGTCACGTAACCAAGTTCTTGCAAGCGCTGGGGAAAAAGTAAGAAAAATGGTTCGGACATAAGAACAATAATACCATGAATATACAATAAAAAAACATAATAGACGAAATTTTATGAAGATCTACGTATGTAACTGTGAAATGGACTTAAATTGCAGCATTTATTTTGAAGCAAAATCTGAATAGCGTACCTTTTTAATGCGGTGACAGGGAGAAAAATGCAGTATTCTAATTTGAAAAATAAATAAAAATTATCTTAGGAACTTCTCTTGTGATTTAAAAAAATTGAACGAAGACGAGATTCTTGGATGGTGAAACTCATCTTAACTACTTTTCAATTATTTGTTGTATGGAGTTCAATAAGTACGAAAATACAATAAAAGGGAAAACTATTTTCTTAAAATACTTTACACTACTTCGTTGATGTAATCACCTCAGATAATAATACTTCATTCAACGGTATGCCCTCTGCTGCTCCGGCCATGAGCGGAAGACCTTGTAAACCTGAAAATTCATAATTATGTCAATTGTATCTGGAACAATAAAAGTTTCATCGACCTAGCCAATCGCGGTCATGATTCGTAAATTTCAATGATAACGAAAATAAGACAAAACTAACAAAAACTTACTATTAATCTCTAAACATTTCACGGGTTTACTGAAAAAACCAATAAAGCTAATTAGAGCTTGCTAACAATGCTAGCAATATTAGGCACGAGATTATGCTTATTGAAAATAGCTGGAATAAAAATGAATTTATATCGAGGAATATAAGACTTTAAAGTCCATGTCTTTGTCTTCAGGCATTTTGTTTTGCTTGGCCTTTGTTCTCTCTATTCCGTGTTGAGTTTTGTTTCGCTTGGGTTTGCTATTTTTTCTCCGCGTATTTAAACTCCTGCTGAGCAGTAGTCAAGTTTTGCTCTCTTTGATATGTTCTTTCAGTATTTCAATTTGTATTCCAATCGGACAGTTTTATCAAAATCAGCCTAACACCATCAGCCGTTGTCTAATTTATTCTCAAATTTTATTTTTTAAACTGAAAACTACCGAGAACATTCTAGTTTTAAATTTTATGAGTCTATTATTGATTGTCAAAGATAAATTCACAGAAAGCTTCGATGCGTAATGTTATTTCGATTTTTGTTTACAAGAAATAACATATGAGACAATTAGGCAACGTTAAATTCAGTTAAGTTGATTCTGGTTACGTCTATTCTATAGTAGGACTCTCAGTTCGCGTAATTTGTAAATACCTATATGTAAAAACATAAAAATATTATACTATCTCAGAACTGCTCTGTCCTGCCAAGGAATAACGCCGTATGAACATTCGAGAGTTGCCAAATTTTCCTCGATAAAACATGCATTTTTGACAATATTCATGCATATATTCCCTTGAAATTTTAGATTAAATTGCGTACATAATTGGCTGAAACTTTTGGAAAATAATATTCGCAATTTTCCCAGTTTTTCAGAGGAAACTTGGCAACGTCTGAAGGCTCATACGGCGTTCTTCCTTAGCACGGCAGTGCTCTTACCCATTCGAATTGGATATTTCCCAGTCAGCAGCGCCGTTCTCGATGGTGAGCAACACGGTAGAGTATAGTGTCGATCAAAAACGATGCCATTGTAGGCAAGTGCATCGATGTTGGGTGTTGGAATTTGGTTTGAACCTCGGAAGCCAACGTCGTTCCACCCCTAGGAGTGAAAAGAAATAATTACATCCTTAAAAATTTTGGCTGTTTATTGTTCGCAGGTCATTTTTATCGATTTTGGAACGATACGTATTGACCATTGTTGCCAGATAGTGCTGTCAAATCAGCAAATTTCCCCTTTTAAACCCATGTGAAATATCCACATTTTGTCGTATACAATCTATTAACTTTGGTATTGACCACGGAGTGGAGCTGACTCCAGTAGGAGAAGCATAGTCGTGGGAAGAGGGGTGAGTATTCCATAAGGCTTACGACCCTTGAGACAAGCTAATTTCCCCATAAACGTCATTAATCGTGGTATTCTGGACTTTTTTACCACCGAAACACCCCCATGAAAAATGTCTCGCCACACCACCAGTTCCTTCTACTGCTGGTCGATTATTGAAATTGATAGACAAAGCTTTGGACAAAGCAGACAAAAGGGTTATGGAAGTGGAAGTGGCTATTGGTAGAAGTGGGTGTTTGCGATGGATAAAGGAGGTTGATAATAGACTAACTAAAACCAGCCCACGAGAGACACATTAGCTAGTCTATTATCCTCTCCCTTAGTCTAAAGGAGCCACCCGCTTCAACCAGTAGGATCGCTCCATACTCCCCATGTCTTCTTTGTCAATAGCTTTGTCAATCAATTTCAATAATCGGTCCGCTGGTTGCCTCAAACGATTCATAAGATACTAGAATTATTTTAAATTGAAATTATCCAAATTACACAAAGATTGACGGAATTTGAAGGTACTGTGTAGTTTACGGTGTGGTTAAAGTGATACTTATGCTAATTGCATTATTTGGCTGAAGAACGTAAAGTTGTCTACGGTTCCTACAACACGCTTAAGAAGAAAGACTACGAAAAAAAACATTCTGTGCAAGCAAGAGAAAGGATAGACCTTGCATCAAACATGAAGAAAAATACTTTGAAAAAGGAAAAAATATTCTTGAAGTGTCATCCGGCGATTCAGCGACTTTGATCAGGAAATTTTTTCGTGAAGTTCTTTTCACACACAAACTATATGTTCTTCCTAATCTATTCTATTTAAAAAGTATCTTCAAATTGCGGAGGGGTCCAAGGAATGCGCGTCAGAAAACATTCCTGTAAGTTGAATGATGTAAATGGTTGACAAGATTTCATTTTTAAGTTATCTATTGTATCTTCAGACAATATTGATCGTATCGTTGCTTTATTTTACATACAATATGATAAAAACTGCATTTTAAAATCTAATTTAGTGCAACACAAGAAAACAAACCACTGTGGTATTTTGAGGACAAGTATGGTGGATTCATTCAGTTTTACCCTTAAAAATCAGTTCCCGAAATATTTTCAAATTATTCAATGTATATGCACTTCGTTCCAACTTACCACATCGTCTGCAATTATTAATATAATGTGAGGCTGAGTTCGTTTTCCGCACGTTGTGCCAAAAAACAAAAAACACTGTCCAAGAAAAAACACTGTTTTGATAAAATTATTGCAAAACATATTTAAGAGAACCCGCGCTATGATTAGGAAAATAACACTATTCAGATTATCAAGAGGAAATCTGAATTGAATTGGTCACTTCACTAGTGTAGGCTTGTTTACTCACAAATATTAGAATGAATGTAAGTCAATATGCCATCAATCAGTGCATTTCACTCTGAGATAGCGAATAGTGCTCGAATACTATCTTAAAACCATTTATGCTGTTTATACGAAACTGGCGCATCGATTGATACTTTCATCTTGATGATTTTTAACGTAACCAAGTATGTCTTTTTGCAATATCTCTCATGACTCTTAGCGTCATACTCGTCATTATGAGGTAATAAACTTGGAGGCTCATTACTTTTGAAAAATTATCTCATTGAGTGTTTTGACAATGACGAAAGGTGTATTTTTAGTGGTGCGTCTTCGAGCGGTTTGTTCAAGAGAAAGTACATTTGCACGTTTCAATATCTTTATTTTAAGTACATCTTTGCCGCTCAGCATTTATGGCTGTAGAGACCACAAGTATCCTGCCGTGATAGCGAAAAGAGCAGTAAGTGTCAAATTTTCGAAATCGAGTTTCCCTCAAAATTCGTCTGATCTCCTTTGGATGAAATCACTGACATATTTAAAATAGCAACATTCATCTTAATTTTATGAAAACGAGACACATTAGAAAGCCTAGAGTGCGCAAAAAATGACTTAGTTTCAGGCAAGACAGCAGTAAGTGACATTATTCATCCAGGGAGCCAATAGAAACAGTGGTTTCATGTAAAGTGCCGCCCTCTTCTGCCAATTCCTAACCTGAAAATGTGTTTCTTTTGTGTCCAAAACGTGACCACGAAATCATGCAGTAGATAGCACTTTGTGCTCATTCGATATCATTCGTGCCTCCCCGCTGGACTACTGGTATTTACATCATCACTCTGTAATGATGGGAACCCGAATGGATTTTGGAACCGGTTCCGGTTCCGGTTCTCATGGTCCAATGATTCGGGTTCCGGTTCCGGTTCCGGTTCCGGGGGTCCGAAGATTCGGGTCCCGGTTCCGGAACCGGTTCCACTCGGGTTCCATGGTATTAGTATTCGCGAAAATAATTTAATTTTAAAGTAAATTACTCAAAATGAGAGAGAGTTCAAAACTGGGCAATTTTAATCTGTAATACAGAGTCATTGCCTTAATATTCCGGAACAGATTCAGAATAGAAGTTTAATATCATAGAAAACGGGTTAAGTTCAAATGATTAATGCTGAATAGTTAGAATGGAAGTTATGAGAAAAAAAAAACAAGCAGTGAACTCCAACACAATGTGTTGATAAGGCGCGTCATTAACTCGCACATATCAACCCCTTTAGTTTTCATTTACAGAGATTTCAAAATAGGCAAGCAGCACAACAAGAGAATTCACGATCCAACACTGCGAGGTCAACGACGCACCTTGACGAGACCGTGTATTGTGAATGTAGAAAGCTATTCGATCAAATTTAAGTTTTTTGATCTGCCTCAAGCAAAATCTTATCAGATTCATGAAGAAAAGTGCTACGGAATAATTTAAGCGAAAAAAGGAAAAATTCTGTCGAACTCCTAGAAGATAAAGTCGATTTGGAGGTATTTTGGGGCTGGAATACCCAAATCACCGGTAGTATAAGTCCCGTTATATTATTGAAAATAAATTGACTCGATATAAATGCAATTACATTAAATATGTCTTGATTTTGTTATTTTAAACGTCTTTCCATGCAAAGAAGTTCAACCATGTCGTTGCTTTATTCATTCATGAATTGAAAGTAAGCAATCTACATCCCGAAAATTTACTGATTTGCCGTAAAAAATTGCAGAAACTTGATATACCAGGTCGATGCACCCACTCGTTGAATTTACCAACCAATTTCGTGAGTGCAAATGTGTAAAAATCAATATGCTATAGTCATTTTGGGTGCATTTATTTTTCATGAAACAATAATAATTTCAATCCCGAAAAACCATCAATTTTCCGTATAAAATGGAAAAAATCGAGATGTGTCGACTCCCTGACGTGAAAATTAGATTCTACGTGTAAAAATACTTACACATGGATATGCTGAACAGAAACCATGTGTGGACACAGTTAGGATACATAGCCCCAGAATACTTTTAAAGCGCCTTTCCTTTCCAGAATCTTGACGGATTTTTTTTTTGCTTAAACGACTCAAGAGACACTGTAGTTAAAAAATATAAAGAATTTTCGATTTTGACACACAAAAAAAATGTTCGTTCAGGCACACCATGTATTGTATGGAGTACTGCGCTGGTGTTCAATCCTTGCCTTCAGATTAAAATTCTAACAAGGAAGCCCCTTGCAAGAGGCGAATTTTTTGTAATTTCTCCCAATTTTTTCTCCGTTATATAGTTGAATTGCTTGCCAAATTCTGAGGTCAATTATATTTAATTGTAATTTATACATTTCTTTTTTCCCCTTCATTTTATTTTTTGTATGGAGAAGTTTCGTTGATTTCTTCGGATTTCGAATACTGTAACTTCTCTTCTATTCGGCCGATTTTTATGAATGAGACCTCTTTCAATTCGTCTTTGAACGGAGAGTAAGAAAAAAATTGCTAAGTACTCGCGAAACAATTTTTTCGAAAATTTGACGGATCCCAGCGTGACGGTGAAATGGGTAATCGAGTGAAAGTAATTAGGTCTGACTGTGGCGAGGGCCGCGAGGGTCGCCTTTTGTTCTTCAGCTGGGAAGCGACGCGGCGAACCGAGCCAGGACCGGGACACTACCTGGGTTTTGTGCCTGCCTGTGCACTGTTTTGGCCTGATAGGGGAGTGAATTTCTGTATGGGCCACGGTTAGCACATGGTCTAATGAGTCTCGAGGCTCATCACAGATTGCACTTACCACTATCCTGCTGGCCCTGGCTATCAGAGCAAGGGGTACCAACTTTTGAAAAGGATAATAGGGGTATGGAGATCTGTCAAAGCAACGTTTTGAACAAAACGAAGAAGTGAAATTCTCATTCAACAAGTGCCGACCTGATCAGCCATCCTCGAATCAGTTCGCTTGCTTCTGCTTATATATGCATATTTTAAATCAGCGCGTCGCATTCTAAGGCTTTTTTTAAAAAAACCAAGTAACGTAAACTCTTGGTATTCACTGCACATAAACTAATGAGCCCCAGAATGAGAAACAACTTTAAATCATAATTATTGACGGATAAATAAACTTTTTACACGCTTTGGAAAATCTCAGAAGTTCGCGGTAGTCACTTTTCGGTAAGGAACTAAGGGACTCGGTTATTGTATTGAGTGGGGGGTCGAAACGATCGCAAAGGCGGTATACTACGTATACGCGCCAAAAGATATTCTCATATTTTCTTTCAATTAAAAAAAATTAAATAGGTAGGAAACATAAGAGAAGCTTGGAGGACAAGGCGCATAAGTGCAGTTTTTGCTATTTTAAGAAATACGTGTTTAAAGTTTCAAAATTAGGTACATGGAGCCTTGCGGCAGAAAGGAAGTTTAAATTCACTTCTTGATGCCTCAAAGTTGGATTTTAGTTGTGAATTTTTCCCAGAATATGCTTTCAAACTAGTTTCAGATGAGTTCATGAAAAACTCATTTTTTTCAAAACTCCACTCATATGTGCCTTGTCTTCCAAGCCCCTCACATATGCAAGCAAATAATGATTTTGAAGAACAAATGGAGCATGTGTTTATTCAAATTTTGAGTCATACAAGCGTTTACATTACTCACTTACCTACATGACATGTTACTGCCAAAATAGCAGTCAATGACCGCTATATTTGTGATAGAATCAGGGAAAATATCTCTAAGGGTAAAAAAATGAGATTACTGTACTAGAAGTTGAAAGTTGAAGCTTCAGCAGCATCATTCATTTCGCGCAGAGAACACCCGTATTCATTTTTTTCGAATTTCAAGATCGCAAGTCTCATGAAACTGAATAATTCATGTACCAAATTTGACGAAGAAATTCAACGTAATAAAGGCGTGGTATTTTCAGAGGAAAAATATAGCATTCGAGTGCAGTTCAATAGCAGTATCAGTTGCGATATTTTTCCTCTAAACAAACCACGCCTTTATCGTTGAATTTCTTTGTCAAAATTTGGTACCTACATGAAATCTTCAGTCTGATGACAACAGAGGTGCGATCTCAAAATTCGAAAAAAATGACGAGTAGCTGAAATTATCGAGCCAATCGATGCGATATATCGCACGTCGCTCTGTCACACAAATGGCGTCCGTCAAATCACCTTAACAGAGACAAGAGATCCTCCACTGGCCTCCTGGCGACAGGTAGAAGCTTTTACTTCCGGGGATTCAACCCTTCCTTATGGACAATTATATGGGAGAAACAGCCATCACTCTTTTTTCGGCTGTTGATCTACCTACATGGTGGATGATGAGCTTCGGGTGACGTCATGAGCCAAACAAGTTCCTCAAACTTCGGCTTGTTTGCAAAACGAAACTGCCAACACGTTGTTTAACATCAACCATGTAGGTAAATCAACCGTTAATTTTTGAAGTCCCGAAAGTAAAAGCTTTGATAGCCGAGATAGGAGTGGAGGGTCTCTTGTCTCTGCACTTTAATTAGTCTTACTGTGTATGACTGTAAAAACCCATTCTTTTAGAATCTCCTGAACAGTGTTTGAAACTCACCTATAAGTTTTAGGAGCCAAGTGGCGCATCAAGCCCAATTTTTAGGCGCCATTGAAGATTTTTTAGGGGCCAAATTGACTTTTTGCCTACATATTACGGCGCATTTAGTGAAAAGTTAGACGCAAGATTTTTTCGTAATAGAACTAGGAAGTAGCTGTAATTTGGAGAAGAAAAAGGCACTAAGGATGAAAGCGTGAAGAATAGAAAAAGCTTTAATGTTGAAAATTTCGAATAATCACCTGTATGAAAATTCAGATTTTTAGGGGACAATATTGAGGGGCCACGTTGGCGCAGAGCCTTCATTTTTTAGGCGCCATGGCTGATTTTTAGGCGCATTTGGCGCGTTGACGCCTGTGAGTTTCGAACACTGACCATGAAGGTAAATCAACAGTTAATTTTTGAAGACCCGAAAGTAAAAGCCTCCACAATAGCCGAGGTAGGAGTGGAGGGTCTCTTGTCTCTGCACCTTAATCAGTCTTACTGTGCATGATTGTAAAAACCCATTCCTTTAGAATCTTCTGAAACTAAAATGCTCAAGCAATGCTATCTGTGGGGTCTAGCCACGGAGCCCACCATCCACCCCACTTTTCAGGATCAGAGGCGGGATCGAAGGGGTGGATCTGTATCTTGACCGATCCAGATCTATAACCCTCCAACTGGTGCAACATCTCCTCTACGATCTCCGGGTTATCCTCAGCGACGTTATCGAACTCGCAGGGGTCTTGGTGGATGTTGAAGAGGCAAGGCGCCCCACTGCACCGGTCGCGGGGAGAGAAGGGGTCGGAGGTTTCAGAGGCTGCGATCCTTTCCGCGCAAATCAACAGTTAATTTTTGAAGTCCCGAAAGTAAAAGCTTCCACGATAGCCAAGATAGGAGTGGAGGGTCTCTTGCCTCTGCACCTTAATCAGTCTTACTGTGCATGATTGTAAGAACCCATTCCTTTAGAATCTCCTGAACAGTGTTCGAAACTCACCTTTAAGTTTTAGGACCATTAAACAGCAAAAAAAAAAAAAAAAAAAAAGGTTTTAGGAGCCATGTGGCGCATCAAGCCCAATTTTTAGGCGCCAATGAAGATTTTTAGGGACCAAATTGACTTTGTACCTATATCTTACGACGCATTTAGTGAAAATATAGACGCAAGATGTTTTTGTAACAGAACTAGTAAGTAGCTGTAACTTGGAGAAGACAAAAGCGCAAAGGATGAAATCGTGAAGAATAGAAAAAGCTTTCACTTGTAATGCTGGAAATTTTGAATAATCACCTGTATGAAAATTCAGATTTTTAGGGGGCAATTTTTAGGGGCCACGTTGACGCAGAGCCTTCATTTTTCAGGCGCATTTGGCGCGTTGGCGCCTGTGAGTTTCGAACACTGCTCCTGAAAGGAAAATGATCAAGCTGTGCTATCTTTGGGGTCTAGCCACGGAGCCCACCATCCACCCCACTTTTCAGGATCAGAGGCGGGATCGAAGGGATGGTTCTGTATCTTGACCGATCCAGATCTATAACCCTCCAACTGGTGTAACATCTCCTCTACGATCTCCGGGTTATCCTCAGCGACGTTATCGAACTCGCAGGGGTCTTGGTGGATGTTGAAGAGGCAAGGCGCCCCACTGCACCGGTCGCGGGGAGGCAAGGGGTCGGAGGTTTCAGAGGCTGCGATTCTTTCCGCGCACAACATCGTCCTCGTTATGTCCAACGTGGAGCGGCGGTCCATGTATTCATCCCATAGTTTGCCGAAAGGTTGGTCTTTGCGTAGGTTCTTCGAGGTTGGGCTATCAGTGACCATTTTCAGGGAGTACTCGGTGCGGTTGCGCCCGTGTTCGCCGTAGTAAAGTTGGCTGAAGCTGAAAGGAGTGCTGGTGTTCACTGGAAATGATAACACAGATTTAGACATTTATGAGGGATTTATTGACATTTATGAAAGACGTCCCGTGAAGGGATGTTGGCACGGCGTTGACAACGAGATGTTGCAGTGTCAGTTGCCCGGTAACTTTTAGGAGGAAAGGCATATTGACTTAACTTTGAAGGAGCAACAAAATGAAAGGTACAACCATTGTACCGTCCGTGTAGATAATACTGCATATCAATAGAATCGAAGGTGAATTGAGATGTTGCATGTGTGAGGAATTTGCGATTTGACTGTTGATTTTTATGTGAAAGTTTGCGAGAAGCACAAAAATGCTACTGATTTTCTCTGAAATCAACTCCCAAGCTCAAAAAAAGCGCTCAAGTTGAGGTCAAAATGGAGGGTATATCCCACCCTACCCTGAGAGTCGACCTCTACATCAAGACAAACTCTCCATGCAAAGATAGGGAGCAAATGTATTAGCAGGGTTGCCGTGTTTTCAGTTTTGGAGTCCCCAAACAAAGTTTTTTGAGGTTTTTGAGGTTGGGAGTTGATTTCAGAGAAAACCAGTGGCACCATCGTGTTTCTCGCGAACTTTTACATAAGAATGAACAGTCAAATCGCAAATTCCTCACACATGCAACATATCCATTGCATGCTTCGCTCTTAAATCAATTCGTCCATGCTCAATACGTGAAAGTGATTTATTCAATTGCATGATAGAATATTTTCAATACCCGAGTGGCTCTATATCGTCAACTTCCGGCAAAGCATCACAAGCGCCATGCGACGTTTAAAAATTCCCGCCGCTATTTTAATTCTTTACAGAGAAATCGTTCAACGAAGCTGTCCAAAAATTTCGATGAATTTTCTTCGCGCTGCCAATTAAATTCGGTGGGATTTTCAAACGCATTCAACCAACAAGTTTTCTGTAAAAAATAAATTGGCGCCGGAAATTTTGAAATGTCGCGTGGCGCTTGTGATACGTTGGCTGGAAGGTAACGATACGTATCGTCTCCGGATTATTTCGCCGCTCCTCTAACGTAAGGACGTATCTCGATTTCGAGATGAGCCCCAGAAAGCATGAATTCATATGTGAATCAGGGCTCACGCGAAATTTGAGATACGCCCTTACGTCAAAGGAGCGGCTATTTAAGCGCGCTAAAATTATCACGTGCGAGTGCGCCCCATGCGGAACACAGGTTAATTGCTGGTTATTCATAAAATGATCATATAAAACGATAAATCATGAAAAATGAAGGTGCAGTATTGATTCTGTATCAAAACTTGAATATTCTGTGAATCTACAGATTGCATGACGATTAGGTCAAGTCTTCGGGAAAAAATGTGAGAACAAAAATGTTTACCGTGAATCAATTTCCACTCGTTCTTGACAACGGCCCAGTCATTCAGATCTTCGTTGATATTGACTAAAAATTCATTTTTCGGGTCCGCTTGTGTTACGTCGAGTAAGAAATCCCATTGATCAGTCCCGTCTAAGCCTTCCAGTGACTCAGCATCACCCCCTAAAATCAATCACGTTAGAAAGATTGAATGAGAAACACACATACACACTATACACATTAATTACACGTGCAATGCGTCGATTCCTAAACAAGGGAACGTCACTCCAACGTCACAAAATTGACTAAAAAAATTCAATTTTGAAAAAAAAAGACCGTCAATTCTCGTTAAAAATTTGTCTGATTTGAGCACGCCACACAGTGGATCGATTCGATTAGAGAGGTCAGACATGGGCTTTCTTACTAGAACTGCATATTTTTATGTTTATTTCGTCGTATTTTACATTTTAAGGGGTGCTTCTAAAAGAAAATTTTACAAGGAAACCAACGGAATCACTTTTAGAACCTCAAAATTGTGTAGACACGGAGTTATCAGCGTTTAAAGTCTCCAAATTTTGTCCGACCTGTTCTATTGACTCGATCCACTGTGCGCCATCGGAAGGAAAAGCAGCAAAATTTTCAGCTAGGAGTGCCCAGCAGTTTCCCAGAGAAAATAAAAGTAAAAATAAAATTAATACAGGTCTTACCACTCCTAATGTATTTAGGATAAGGACGTATTAGACAAGAAGGAAGGAAAAGAAAAAGAAGTAAGAAGGATTAGAAAAAAAGGAGGAAGAGGAAAAGAGAAAAAAGTCTTCCCTTTTGTATCCTCTCTCTCTTTTTGCTAATATTTTTTGTTCCTCTTCGCCTCCCCAGGCACTCACCAATTTTCCTTTTTTCAATCTTTCTCCTCTGCTTTTCCTTACTCATTTTACCCCTTCTTCTCCTTCTTCTCATTTTCCTTTCTCTTGTTCCGCGTTTTCATCTCACCTCTATAGTTTGTTCGTCCTTTTTCTCTCCTTTTTATCCTATTCACTCTTTCTTTCGTCTGATTCCTCGTCTATTTTTTCCTCCACCCACTCGCTTTCTACGTCTGCATTTCCAATTCAGACTCAGATCTAGAAGGCCCGAGTCTGTCAAACCAGGGTTGAAATGCTACAACTGCAATGCTAAGGAATAACGCCGTATGAACCTGCAGACGGTGCCAAATTTCCTTCGATAAAAACCGTATTTTACAAGAAAAATTGTGAAATTTTTTTTCCAAAATTTTCATAAAATTTCCTACGCTCTTTAATCTAAATTAACTGAATATTTCAAAGAAAAATGTGCTTGAATGTCGTTAAAATAACATGTTTTATCAAGAGAAATTTGGCAACTCTCGAATGTTCATACGGCGTTCTCCCTTAGCACGGTAGATTAGTTGAAGTTGACAGAGTCACCTTAAAATCTTATTTGGTGAAAATAATTTGTTCCTACCGGCAGCGGAATATAGTGTCGGAAGCCAGTCGGTGATATGCATGTAAGCGGAGGAAGTCCATTTGAGGTTCTTGAAGAGAGCACTCCAGACCACGGCAACTCCTCTCACACCGCCCTCAAATGGGGACATTTTCAGCTGCAAAATTTAAAAAAAAGAGAAAAAAAATGTAGTAAAAATAATACAAGTGAGTGTCATGGGCTATCAATCAAATCTTGTTTTTTTATCGAATAGTTATGTATACGTTTACGGGAAACGCGCACGGGAACGTCCAAGAGCAGAAATCACTGGAAAAAAATGTCTTGGATCCTGAGTCCAGACTCTTAAAAAATGTAGCAAGCAAAAATACTCATGATTCAATCGGGTTTTTGATAGAAACAAAAGGAAATCAGCTTTGATTAAGAGGCTTTTCTCTCGATTTAAGCAAAAATCCTGACCCACTTCTCTTTTGAATTGATAAAATGTGGACTAAATTTTGCAAGAGAGAACTACCATTACTGCCAAGTTTTAGAAACAACGCATTGTGCGAATAGTTTTCCTATATGCAGATACATTTTTCTGTGTGGCTGAGCCAGAAGTTCCACATTACAAAATATAGTAAAATCATACTCCTCGAAGCGGCCAGTTGGAGGCAGTATTTCCGTGGCCCCAAACAGGATCAATCGTTGGTCCACCATTGTCCGAGATGAAAATTATGACGCTGTTCTGCAACATGTTTTTTGAGCTTAATGCTTCAACGACTGCACCAACGGAAGAGTCTAGGGCCTCCACCACCCCTGAAATTAACACAACAATTCAAGGAAACGGATTACATTTTAAATTAAAAATTTTAAGCCGTAAATAAGCTAGAGGATGACGATTATCCAAAATGTCCACGGTATGAGAGCAAAACCTAAATGTGTAAATATGGGAAGTAGAACACACGGTGACGCAAAGTAAAACGTGCGGTTAAATGTTTTCCGTTGCCTTTCCTGGTTACATTGGCTGAATTTTCGGTTGAAAATATTTGCAACTTTGTTAAAAAAATACTTTTGCCGCGACAATTGTTTTCTGTTGCAAATTTTGTGTTACGTGCGATACTTTTCACGACCAATGAAAGCAGAGAAGCTAGAGGTGAGGTTAAAAATCCCGTTGCAAGTGTCGCACCTTACTGTAACAAGCTCTGAGAGAGGTGCGATAAAGTGATCCGTAATAATTTTGTAATAAATTTGCCAGATTGTGCAGAAAAAGAAAATAATTTAAATAGGCGTAAACAGAACGTATCGTAGCAGGGAGCAGCTAGGTATACTGTCGGGATTACTGACAGGACACAATCTCCTGCGGAAACACATGCACAGGATGGGTATCTTCAAGGATGAACCAAAGTGTAGGCTGTGTGAGGTAGAAGAGGAAACTGCAGAGCATATCATCTTCGACTGTGAAGCTCTGGAAAAGAAAAGACAGGACATCCGAGGCGAAAACTCCTGGGATGACTGTCTAGCACCTGAGTTAGTTGCGGGCACTCTCCTCCAACTTGTTGAAGGGGAGGGCTTCTGGGACTAACCAGGAACCAACAACTGGGCACAATAGATCGAGAGGTCGCAGTGCATGGGGCAACCCACCAGAAAAAGGGAAAAAAAAAAAAAAAAAAAAAAACAGAACGTAACTTCTTGACGTAAACAGAATCCGAACGAAATACCATTGTTATGAGCTGTCCCGAATCGTAACAGCTAACAATATACTTTTTTTTCCTTACAAATTTTAACGAAGACTAGAACATTGAAATACCATATCCTCTTGGCATGCAGTCGCTCAACTGGACGGATTTATGTTAAAAGAAACTATGTGCATAGGGTTTTCGTGTAACATAGTTCCTTTTAACATAAATTCGTTCAATGAGAGGGAATTGAAGCACTACCTGCGTATAATCGCCTGGCGGGATCCGAGATATGCCCGAACTTTTTAGAATTCTCTGCTTCGTCACGCACCTCCAGAACACCGGCAGCACCCGTGTGGGGAGCCAAGTGCGACATGACGAGGAACAAGGGTGTGGACGGGTTACCATGCGATGTGATGGTACGGACAGCCTCCTTGGTGTAGACGTCAGTCAAATACTGACCCTCAACTTCGTGCTTGCTTCGAACCAGATTGCGGTAAGCGTCAAAGCCAGAAATATTCTCCTGAAAAATTATAGACATTATTTGAAACGGCAATTGGACCGCGTTCAGTAGAAAGGAACCAAGCCACATCAGCTTTTGCCAAATTTAACTGGGCAAATTATTTTTTTGCTAGGGGCACCTCGTTATCACGTCGTTTGATAACGAGAGCCTCTTGTGCCGCTACTGCAGTTTTGACCGATAAGACCGTAGTTTAAGAGCGCTAAAGCCAGGATTGTACCTTCGCAAACAGATATTTTTTGCAGAATAATTAAAAATTAAGAAGCAGGAATAATTAACTAAATAATAGAAGGAACTCAAATCGAGAATATAATGCAAACGAATTTGGAAAATCTCGTCATGTAAATACAGAAGATTCGAAAACGCCTTCAATTGAAGCGTGATACCTCACGCGTTCCGGAGAGTTCAAATAGTTGTATCCCTGCGCCATAGCAAGAAAATGGAAGTTTAATATTAAAGTAGCGTCCCTGCGTTGTTTTTCGGTTTTCCTGTGCTGCTACTACAGTTTCGACCGTTCAGGCCGTAGTTTAAGGGCGCGAAAGCCAGGGTTGTATTTCGCAAAAAGAAAAATTTACCAGAATAATTAAAAAATAAGAAGCAGGAATAATTTAACGAAATAATAAAAGGAACTCAAATTTACAATATAATGCAAACAAATTTGGAAAGTCTCGTCATGTAAATACAGAAGATTCAGAAACGCCTTCAATTGAAGCGTGATACCTCACGCGTTCCGGAGAGTTCAAATAGTTGTATCCCTGCGCCTTAGCAAGAAGATGGAAGTTTAATATTGAAGTAACGTCCCCGCTTGGGTTTTCGGCTTTCCCGTGCCGCCAGGGGCGGATTGGCCATGGGGACGGGGAGGCGATCGCGCCCTAACAATTTGCCGCGGAGGTCCGAAGGGGCCCCCGCGGCGAATTTTTTTCGAGTCATCGTTTTTTTCCCCGTAATGTTGTTCCGTGTTGTTGTAATTTTCTTATCCTTTTCAATCAATAAAAGGCCCCGAATTCCTTGAAAATTTGTTTATAAGAAACATGGAAGGTCGCCAAAAGCATTTGTGATGAAGGGACCCCCGATGAATCCTGAGAATGGATTATTTTGAAGTTCAAGTACTGTAGAATCCTACTCCAATAAAGCCAACGTGTTTAAAAAGTGTGAAATTTTTAAAATTTACCGGGGGAGGGGCCCCCGAACGACAGGAGGGGCCCTTACATTTAAGTCTCCTCCTAACTTCTCAACTACCAGTCCGCCCCTGCCTCTTAGCAGTAGTCCTATTGGTGGTGATGCTATCAGGGAAATCAATGCTAGAATATCGTATTATCACATTTTCATGTATGAAGATTTTTAGAAATTACATTAGTTATTTATAATTTAATTTATTAATATGTTTAATCTAGAATTGATTAGAGAGATATGTTATTCTAAATTGTACTCCTGTATTTATTGTATAATTGTATACTAAAAATTAATTTTTTACAAGAGAACGTTCGTGCGGATTTTTATGGAAATTTTAAGGATTCCGCCTCGCACAATGCAGGCAATTCACTAAAATGTGCACATAAATCCGCACAACCGTTTTCATGTTAAAAATTAAATTGCTTCGTTAAATTTGGCAATAGCTGATGTAGCTTGGTTCCTTTCTGCTTAACGCGGTCTAATTAAAGAGCTACCGCCCGCATACGCGACGCGCCGGTTGCATCATTCATTTCCGAAGGGGATTTTTGGGTCGGAGAAATCAATGCAATGCTTGAATAACGTTTCCACTGATTCTCATTTGCATACCTATATCGGATTGGAATAACTGAAACTGGATATTATTCTTATTATTGGTACAATTCGTAGCTTTATTTTCAGAAAACGAAGTGAATTTTAATTATACTAACCCGCTCCTCAAGGAGTCATTTCTTGTTATTTAGAGTCGCACATAAAAGAAAAAGAGGGTGCTGTGTTATTTGGTCTGATGAGGGACTACTGACTAGTATCTCGTTAGTGAGTTACCACAGAAATTGTTAAATTTTAATAACTGAAAGTTTAGTTCTTAGGCTAGCTAGGAATTTCTCTGAGACAGCATTTTGAACTGTTCTGCCGTGCTAAGGAAGAACGCCGTATGAGCCTTCAGGCGTTGCCAAATTTCCTTTGATAAAACATAAATTTCCTTGTAAACTTATGAATATTACCATTCCAATTTTTCAGATAGTTTTGATCGCAATTTCACCTAAAGTTCCTGAAAATTTCAAAGACAAATATTCATATATTTACTCAAAAATAAACACTTTATCGAAGAAAATTTGGCAACTCTCGAATGTTCGTACGGCGTTCTTCCTTAACACGGCAGTGTTGTGCAGTGATGTTTTCCTTTTTCCAGTAAAAAGAGAAACGGAGAGTTTTTGAAGGTTTTTTTCTAAAAGGATGGGGACTTGTTCGAAGTCTCTTTATCCAAATTCTTGGGGTTTTAGAAAAGGTCTTTAAGACCAAGCACTACTATAAATGAGCCAATTGGGATGAAAATGGTGTTAGCTTGCATTTGTTACAAAGCGTCAATTAGTAGGAAGGGAGAGGCTGAAGTTCCTCGACTGATTACACCACTCTTGTATTACTGTTATCAATATGTATATCAAGCGGCGTAACTGACTAGTTTGAGTTCTACTTTGAGTGGTAGTGTACACGCGTTTACATTTTGGGAGTGAAGTCTGTTTTTATAATGCCCAAAAGACTCCTACATTAGTATCGATAGGATATTTAGGTGGTTAGGTAGTGTAGGTGAGTAGAGAGTATTGATAAAATTGGAACAAACGTAGAATATCAACTTACAGCTCGATGTATGCCACTTTTGTAACTGACGAATCCATTGTAATAACCAAAATGTGAGTGGAATCCCCTTTTGCTGGGAGTCATACTTGTCGTGGAGGAGCCCACATGCCATTTTCCGATCAAACGAGTCACGTAACCAAGTTTCTGCATATACTAAACAAAAAAGAAACGAGACGTCTATCAATTTTAGCGCGTGTAGCAGTCAGTAGCTATGCCCAGTTCAAACTAAAATCCTTATTTTATATATGACTAATTTTCTAATTGTTGGATGAAATATCGTTAAAATTATGATTATGATTATGAAAATTATAAAATATTGATTTCATCGTTGTTTCATTACAAATTTGCTGCTTGGGGACGAATACATGTTGGATTCTTGAAAAGATAGGTACATACCTCAGGCAAAAGTGTCTCGTTGAGCGGAATTCCATCTGCGTGCCCTGCTGCGATTGGTAAGCCTTGTAAACCTGCTCAGACAAACATTATGAATTCATAAACTTATCAAACGTTACACACAGTTAACCCAATAATATTAAACTTCATATTTACCGATAGATACTATAAACATTGTAATGGTAGTTGTAGTACTTATATTGAATAAATCATGATGTTTAAGAAAATGCTCCAGATGTGCTTTTTTAAACCCGATTTTTAAAAATTTGTAATTATCTTTCAGATTAAAGTGTTCATATGTGTTAAATTTTCCTGACTGAAGTTGTCTTCCCCTGTTTGGATGATGTGAAATAGGAAATTTTACCTCACAGATGGCCCGCGTAAAGTTCTTATCCATTAGTTACTTAATAAGACAAGGGTATCCTTCGTGTGCCTTCTTTCATACACAGACTCTCATAATACAAAGATCGCACTAATGGTAAATGATTTGATTTTACAAACGCTAATAAACGCTTACATGAGAGATAGTATGAATTTTTCAACTTTGACTTCGAAGTCTAAGTAGTGGTGCTTATAAGTGTAAAATTAAATTTAAAAATGAACTCAATAATAATAATTGGATTATTTGTGGAAGCCTCCTCTTCAAGAAAATGAGGAATTACAATCATCTGCATTATTCAACTCTTTATAGAATAACTAGCAGGAAACCCGTGCTACGCACAGGAAAACCCCCACCATCAGCAATCACTGTGATTAGTGATCAGTTACTAATTGTGTTTCTGAATTATTTTTTACTATTTCAAAATGGACCACTAGACAAGGTACGATTTTAGGCATTCTGATACATGTTTCTTGACCAGAATTTCACGTAAAACACGATTCGCGCAACGAAAATTACCGAAATCAACTCCTAACCAAGATTTTAACGTTTTTATTTCACATGGGTTACGAGGAATTTGAACTGCCCGCTCATAAGAAACTCAAAGCTCTTCATGAGTCAAATCGTGCACTACAACGGTTTCAGCAAGCTTCTCAATCGAGCAATGTTCATTTCCCATCATGTGTTGTTCAAACTATAAACAACTTGCTACAGCTGAGCCAAAGCGTCAAGATTGAGGTTGCCAGATTTTTATATTGCAGAAACTGTCATAATAACGTTTAGCGCGCGATGTGAGTCACGTAGAGCATTGAGTTTTCATGAGCGGGTGGTTTGAATTCATGTATCACGAATCATTTAATATCTACGTAAGGAGTTGATTTCGATAATTTTCGTTGTGCGCATCGTGTTCTACGAGAAATTTTGGTTGTAAAACATGTATCAGAACGCTAAAATTCGTACCTTGTCTACTGGTCCATTGGCGAGACGCACTGGTTTGATAAAAATGCAGAGATTAGTAGTATGCTGATTAAAGATGCTATTTTGGTCTGTTCTGCAGAAAGCTCATATGATCATTATAATAATCAACAATACCCAATCAAAAGTTGGTTATTTTCATAAAGATTTGTTACTTTTGTCAGTCCAATGTTTAATTGAAGTTATAGCTGGTGAGTTTCAGCCGCGAAAATTACGGGATTTAACCAGCGGTTTCGTTTAATTCTCAGCAATGGCGGGTTTATCATCGACATCGCGGAGAAAACGTAATTTTTCCAGGGATTTTGTAAAACAAATTAGAAATTACACGATAATCACCACGATATCACGGCAAATACGTCGTGTTCCTAGCGAATTTCTAAGAGTATTATAATTGCGCGTTATTCAAATCAATATCGTGGCATACACGCGAATTTCTTACTCTACTAAGACTACTTAAATGTGCGCATAAAACTCATAAACATCTGTTACTTGGGATGGGCGAAAACGTATGATTTTCCTTCAATTTTTTATGATACCACATACCCACTCCGGAGTTCAAATAGTTGCTCGCTCCATTTCTGCTTGTTAAAAGTGACGAATTGCAAGAATCCAATCTCGATTTTACGAGAACTATGGGATGTAACCATCGGTTTCCTTGTATAAGATTTAATGCTTTGAAATTAAGAAAGAAAAAAAAGGGGAAAAAACATTAGCGATGATCCAAAATTTTGCAAGTATGACTCATGTGTTTCGGTAAACTATGATAGAAACAGAAAGCAGGTGGAGAATGTCGAAACGATGTTCTAGTTTTGCTCTGCTGTCAGCACCGCGTCTGCAGGCGCTGTTTGACCGAGCCGTCATCACAGTACATAACGCCTTCAATTTAGCGATCGGCAATGTGGACATCCCCCGTGGTGAAATAGTTGTATCAAGAGCGCCTTCCACGATCGGAGTCAAATATTGATGAAATCACAGGCGTGGCGTGAATTGCGATATATCGATTGTTATGCCATTTAAACCTATGCAAAAAGATCGATTTTCAGGGTGTTCGCTGCGAACACCTTAGTAATCGATTCTTTATTATAGTTTCAAATGGCGAGATATCGATAATCGATTATTCACGCCACGCCCCTGGATGAAATGCGCGCGAAAACCCCGCTTCTCCTCCGATTGCAACGTTGCACACCGTCTAAGTGTTCCATTTTGGTTTATTTATTTTATTTTTGAAGCCAAACAACAGCTTCTCTCAAAATTGTTCGAGAATTCGCCTAAATCATTTCAAAACAGAACTAATGCACAGACAGATTTTCCAGATTTTCACATCCCTGAGAGAGTAGCCCGGCAACGGATGCACGAGTCGGAGCTCGCAAAAATCATGGCGCGGCGTTTCCAACAGCGCGACGCCGAACTCGTTCCATCCTCCTCGCACTCGTTGGACGCCGAACTCCTTCCATCTTCTTCGCACCCGTTGCGCGTACCAGAAGAACACACGTAAAATTTATCAGCTGTCTTCCAGCGCGAGCCGCGGAACTCGCTCCATCTCACTCGCACTCTCTCTCGCACCCGTTGTCCTTACGGGAAAATCGACACACGCGGACCGCGATATCCCGCGAACCGGCGGGCGGATCGCGAAATCCTCCCTTATCCGGCGCCTCGGGGTAGAGAGGGATCCCAGTGCGGAATCTCAGGGTCACACGGCCTCCCGTTCACGAGATCCGCTGATACGTGAGTGAGTCAGTCAGTGAGTGAGTCAATCAACGTGAAGTCTGCTTTATTAGTATAGATTAACATTACTCTGCTATTAAACAGAGCTGAAACTCTGATTGATGCCCTTTTTTAAGAGTTATTAAATTTTACGTTATTATTGTCATGGGAACGGAGTTCCCCATGATATTAGAATCGTTCCGTTGCTTTCACTATGGGATTCCCTATACCTCTGCGACCTTGAGCGTTTCGCCCAGTCTCCGATTTTTGGTTGATTTTCCGATGTATCAAAAACCGTTGTATTTTTTAGCCAATCATGTCTCTACGTCAAGTTGTGTTGATTGCTAAAATTCGCTTTCAGCGAGTTTTTTTCCAC